GGGGAGCGATGTCCCGCGGGGAGGAGGAGGAGGAGGAGGAGGAGGAGGAGATGAGGAAGCGCAGCCCGGGGTGACCCCCGAGGGGGCGGCGGAGCCCCCGGACCCTCCCGGTGAGGGGCCGAGCGGGGGAGCGGGGCTGGAGCCCCCCGGGGACGGTGCAGGGACGGGGAGCGGATCCCCCGAGGGACCGGGGGGACCGGGAGAGGAGCAGCGAGACCCCGGCGGCGACAGCCCGGGGGACTCGGGGATGCCACGGGGGGAGTCGGGAGGGGCGGACGAGCCCGAGGGCTCCGCGCCGGGCAGGGCAGAGCCCGAGGGAGAGGCGGCGGCAGCGGCGGGGACAGAGCCCCGGGACGCGGCCGAAGGTCCGAACGGGACAGAGCCCGAGGACGCGGTGATGGCCCCGGCGGGGACGGAGCACGAAGAAGGGGCCCCGGTGGGGAAAGAGCCCGAGGACGCGGCCGTGGTTCCGAAGGGGACAGAGCCCGAGGACGTGGCGGTGGTCCCGGGAGGGGCAGAGCCAGAGGAGGGGGTGAGGGAGGAAGCCCCGACAGAGAAAGAGCCCGAGGAGGAGGCGACAGTCCCGGTAGAAGCAGAGGGGACAGTCCGGTTGGGGACAGAACCCGCAGAGGTAGAGAGGACAGTCTCGTCGGGGATAGAACCCGGAGAGGGAACAGTCTTGTCGGGGACAGAGCCTCGAGAGGCAGAGGGGACAGTCCCGTCGGGGACAGAGCCCGGAGAGGCAGAGGGGGCAGTCCCGTCGGAGACAGAGCCTGGGGAGGCAGAGGGGACAGTCCTGTCGGGGATCGAGTCCGCAAAGGGGACAGTCCCGTCGGGGACAGAGCCCGGAGAGGCAGAGGGGACAGTCCGGTCGGGGATCGAGTCCGCAGAGGGGACAGCCCCGTCGGGGACAGAGCCCGGGCAGGTGCCAGGACAGGCGGTCCCAGAGGGGACAGAGCCCGGGGAGGCGTCGGGGACAGGCCCCAAGGATGAGGTGCAGGAGGCAGCCCCGACGGGCGCAGTCCCCGAGGAGGCTCTGGGGACGGTCCCCGAGGATGTGCGGGAGGCAACCCCGAGGGAGCCGGTCCCCCAGGATGAGGGGCAGGAGGGAACCCCGGCTGGGACAGTCCCTGAGGAAGGGGCGGCCCCGGCGGGGACAGTCCCCGAGGATGCGGTGCGGGAGGAAAGCCCGGCTGGGACAGAGCCCGAGAATGCGCTGGGGACAGTCCCCGAGGCTGAGGGGCAGGAGGGAGTCCCTGCGGGGACAGTCCCTGAGGATGCGGTCCGGGAGGAAGCCCCGTCGGGGATAGACCCTGAGGATGCGGTGCGGGAGGCGGCCCCGGCTGGGACAGGGCCCGAGGAGGTGCGGGAGGAAGCCCTGGCTGGGACAATCCCTGAGGATGCGGGGCAGGAGGAAATCCCGGCAGGGACAATCCCTGAGGATGCGGGGCAGGAGGAAATCCCGGTGGGGACAATCCCTGAGGACGTGGGGCAGGATGCGGCCCCCTCGGGGACTATCCCTGAGGATGCAGGGCAGGATGTAGCCCCGCCGGGGACAATCCCTGAGGATGCGGTGCGGGAGGAAACCCCGGCGGGG